GAAGTTTAAGGGAAAGAAAAATATACTCTGAAACTTGGCATCATGGCAGATCTTTATGATGTGACTGGTTCAGAGATTATTATTGATTGTTTGGGTTTACTTAACATTAACTTCTGAGCATACAGGAACAAAAAGATCATTTATCCTTGAGAAAAATGTTAAGTTTTGTACTTGAATTTTGAATAGGTCAGTAATCCCTGATTTGAAAAGAAGCACTCCACGTCACTAGAATTATTTATTCTTTAAATGTGTTAAGGCCTTTTATCCATAATACCCCAATTATTTTTGTTGTTACTGTCATTTTATTTTTGTTGTTACTGTCATTTTATTTTTAGTTTACTATTTATTTTTATAAACTATGTGAGATACGGAGGTAGTATTCCTCTTGTCGTAGATCAGAGTCTTTACTCATAATTTATGGGAAAAAAATTCACCATTAAAATGCTTCAATTACTCTTATTGCCTTTACTCGAGACTATAGGGAAAACTAGTATAATAGATTTATTTTATCTTTGTAAGTTTTAAAATACATATGTGCTTAGGAATACTGGTTTTGGGCTCTACAATCTCAAACTACTGCTTTTTTTTGGAGGGGTCAATCATTAAAGTAAAAAATGAAACTTTTTTTAAGGGGTGTAACTTTAAACTTTTTCACCCAAGTGTTTTAAGCTTTCATATTTTAGGCCCCACGTTGTCCATGAGCCATAGACATTGACCTGTATTTTCTCAGGGTCATTTAAAAAAAAAAATCAGGGCATGCAGGCCTGGTGAGAATCCAACAGTGAACCTAATTAATGATTTCTGTGTTCTACTTCTCTTGTCCATTCTCTTTGTATGACTTTTTAATGGAAATCTGTATTTTGAGTAAAAGGCTACATGTGTGGTTCCCTCAAGGCAGTTTCCTGGGTTTTAATTATTTCTACACAGCTTTTGAGAATTGGCTTATTTCTGGATACCTATAATATTGCTAATTTTGTGTGCACTCATTAGAGAGAAAGAGAAAGAACACGCCTCCGACAGGGTTGGTCACTCTGTAATCCTTTTTCACGCCATCCCGTCAGATGGAGAAATGGAGGGGAAAAAAGCACATGCTTCTTGTGTTGCTGGGAGGACTGGAATGCAAACCACAGTTGTTGGTCATGTGGATCCCACTCCCTCTGCACAGTGCCTAACTGCTATACTACAAACCTGGCCTTTATACTTTTTGAGTCTTTTTTTTTAAGAATTATTTTATTTATTTATAATTACTAAATTTGACCAGAGAGAGAGAGAAAGCAAGCCACCAGGTCTGGGACTTGAACTGTGGTCAGTCATGTGGGTGTCCAGTGTCTTAACCACCCCTCTACTTGCTGGCTCCAGAACTTGATATTTTTTAATTGACTCATTTTCACTTAAAAATTTAACAAAAACTTATCATTACAGCAAAATCATAATTACTACTAAAAAAACTTACTCCTTACTGTAAACAGAAACTAAGCAATAATTACATAAATGTAGATTCTGCTAGCATCGATGCTCCAGTTCCGCCTGAAAGATATGAAACAGGGTAATAAGCATATGTTATGAAAGCCGTTTAAACACAGAACCAAGCAGACTTTGTCCTTCTTGTGATCAGAGAGATGAAAGAGAACAGACTTCAGATCATCACCGTATCACCAGTTGTTCACAGCTGAGCTCTGAGAAGCAATGCTGTTTAGAAGAGCTGCCTAGGGCAACTGAGGAAAAAGGGATTGTTGACTAGTGTGGCTTGAAATGGACACTGGAATAGGACCAGATTTTCTTCCTCGTAAAATTTTTTGAAAGAAACATATTTGCACGTTAAATCTATGTCACATTACTGACTTGTTCTCTCCTTTAATGCTTTCCCATTTCTGTATCTGTGGATGATGTTTCCTCATTTAATCGTTTTTCCTTTTTCATATCCAGGTATCTTTTAATGAAAAACATTTTTTGGTGATGTAAAGATATTTTGTGGAGAGGATTAACTGATAATAATTCTATAGGTAAAGAACGTTTAAGCTAAATAAAACAAACATTAGAACTTGGTTTCAGGATAGACCTCTGTTATGCACAAAAGATGGTTTGAAAATTGTAATGATTCTTTTAAACTTTCTTTACCTTAACTTCTGATTATATGAGAACAGAAAGATAGAAATAATTGTTTTAAAGAAGGTCTTAAATTTAGGTTTTAAGCTTTACATGTAAACTACTTATTCAGATGCAGGAAGCAGTTTAAAAATCTGCGCTTTGCTTTTAATGGTAAAAGAAAGTACTCCAGTGACATCTTGTGGCTACTCCCGTAAAAAAAAAAAAAAAAAAAAAAAAAAAAAACTCTAAAAATTTTACCCAA